TGTGTGTGTGTGTGTGTGTGTGTGTGTGTGTGTGTGTGTGTGTGTGTTTGACAGGTCTATCCATGGCGGTGCGATATGAATCTCTGTACTCAGGCCTGTCGGGGTTTAATGGAGCGCTGGGCTGCATGGCTGTTGGAGGACTCTTCTTCACCTTCAGCTGGAGGACTCACCTCTTTGCCATCGCCAGCGGTAACACACAAGCACACACACAACAGTCGCTACCTATTGTGCATAATGACGGTGTTGCTGATCTCACATATGACGATATTGAATTAAAGTACAAAGGGTGTAAAACACAGCGCTTATATTAAAAAGAATATATAATTTGTCCCTTGTATTGTGATCCGCCGGTAGTTATGTGTTGACAAGGGATGCACAAATCCCATTTTTTAAGTCCTGATACTAATACCTGGGCTTTGGTTATCGGCCATAACAGATAACTCTTACATTATCATAGATATTTTTTATCCCTCTTAGTTATTCCTCTGTTTTTGTCCAACTACAAAAAAAACCCGTTCAAAACAGAAATCCTGCATCAAAACCTGCGTTTCACTGAGGATTTGTGTGGATTTAATTTCAGTAATGACATGTTGCACACAACAGTTATCACACATTTGCAAAACGGCAATCTTTTTCCATCGATGAATGATGGAGAACCATTGGAAGGAATGCTCATTTTAACTTCACTGCTCTGACTTATACAGTATGTAGTATACTTAATAGCTTTCTAAATAGTTTTTGGCAGAAAAACAAGAGCCATGCAAACATATTTCTTTGAATACAGGTATCTTCTTTAGTTCAGTTAACCTTACTTGCACTTAGCAGGAATATTAAACCGAACAGACTCCAGAGTAAAGTCATTATGGGATTCTGCCACTGGAGAGCGACATAAACCAACAAGCTGCTTCAATATGCTCTGTCCATGGTGCTGAAACTAATACAGCGTTTCATGTTGTCTCTGTCCATGGTGCTGAAACACTCACATGCAATGCAGTGCATGTCACATAGACAATAATAGGACAAGATTGCTCAAACAAAAAACACCCTTTTAAAAGCATACAAACGCAACTTTTTAGCCTTTCAATAAGTCATTCTGAACTTAATCGTGTCAAAACATTGTATTTAAATGCCCTCAGTTCTCTTAGGTTAAATGGGTTTTTCACATTTTTCAGACTTAATAATGAGCCTCGATGCTGCAGCATTGTTGTCTGGATCTAAAGAAACTCGTACCCAAACATTCAGCTCCGTACTTTGTTTCCATACATATTTCCCCTATATTGTCAAATATTTCATGCACGTCCTTTGGCAATTTCTCTGCACCAAATGGTTGTAATTGGCTAATAGTTCCTGTCATTTAATGGATATTTTTAGACTGGGCTGCCCTGTCTCATTGTGTCCTCATTCATGAATACAGACAAGCTGACAACATTAAACCACATTCACACATCTGAAATTGCAGCTGGAGCACGCTGGACATTAGTGCTGACCTGTTTGCCAGGGAGCTAATCTACTCACATTAGGTAAATCGGTGTTAATTGGGGCTTCCAGTGTGTCTCCGTAACAAGGTGAACTGCAGCCAACCTCCGTACCTGTTACTGTAAATACCTCGGCGACCTGAAGAAAAGGTACAGAGTGAGTGTGTCGCGGATGTATTTAGCCTCATTTCTTCTCCTCTGCATGCAGCCTTCCTCTCTGCATATGCTGACATCGCTCTGAGCAATCTGTTGGGAACTGTAAGTACACACACCTCAAGCCATGTGTGTATGAACCACTTTGCAGAACAATATCAAGCTTCCTGGTGGGAACTAGCTATGCTTAAGGGTGATGAAAATGACACTTTCCTCTCTGGGCTGAAAGTGTTAAGTTTCACATAAACGTCAGTGGGGCTGTTGTATCAGAGACCTGTCACCCCACAGTTAAGACGACTGGTCCATGATGTTGATTCCCAATGTTTGCCTTTACATGTCTATTACTGTAGTTAGTTAACACACATCTTTTATGCCCCTTTCAAGATAACAGGAAGGAGGCTAGTGCTGAAACTCTTCAACTCCTTTTTACATGTATAGAGCCCATTCTCACTCAAACTGTTCTACTTCACTCTCTCTTATTCATCAGAATCTCTCTACCTTTCTTTCTCTAGGTTGGTCTCCCAGCATGCAGTTGGGCAGCTACTCTGACAGCCACACTGATGTTGCTGCTGACCGGCAGTTTAGCAGCGTACCGCATCCCTATTGGTCAAGTCATGGCCCCTGAACACAACCTGCGCTCCCGCAGCCAATGGGAAGCTGGGAACACCGCAGACAGGGAGTGCACTGATGTGTAACGCATTGTACCATACTGTATCAGTACTTTGAGCTTTTATGAATAATAAACTCCCATTCCACAATAGGCTCACAAGTGACTACAAAAAAGTAGATTCAACACTTTGGGAAAGCAGTCACTATACATTTTGTCCACAAGGTGGCAATGTATGTTTAGCAACACAATAATGAGAACTGTTTATAAAGTATCACAGTTGTTATTTATGTCTCTGTATTCAACCATTTTTACTAAATGTGTAACATTTTTAACCAAGCCGAATAAACAGCCATTTAAGGGGAAAGAAAACATCTTTTAATAGTCATGAAATCAACAAGTTATTGTCAATAAAAACACAAACTGAATTCAACAGTAATTATTTTTAACCCCTTCATTACCCTGCATAGACATACTACAACAAAGCACGCACTGGGACTCATTGTAAAAACAGACATGAACATGTATCTCAATGCAGGCGGGCGGTGAGTACACACGGACGACATGTGATGCGTTTCTGAAATGGCCGGAGTGGTCAGCTGCCTAGGCCAGGAAGTTAAAGGCAACTGTTTGAATCTTGAGACTTTATTATTATTATAAATTCTCTTCAATTAAATAGTGACGGTGTTCCATGGGTTCATTCATAGATATAGTCTTTTTATCACAGTGCCCCTGTGTAATTATTTTTATGCATATTTCCCATCAACATCTATCATCCCAAACACACACACATCCACATTCTCACACAAGCCATACACCCCAGTCTAATGTTAAAAAAAAGAGAACGAATATTAACCATTAAAATATTATTTAAGGTTTTTTTTTATACAGGTGAAGTGACATTCTTCCACAAACAATAACGTCCTCTAAAATGTTGTTTTACGTCATGCAGTTCTATTTTAGTGCTTTCAGGATTCTTTTTGTCTCCATGGTTTTTAGTTCTGGGACTAAATTATTTTATCACAAACTACCACACGGACAAATGGTGATGAGGAATCGAGATGAAACATACGAAAGTGACTCTCAGTCCGTGATTGATCAAGCAATCACGAACAATAACAAGCAATAACAATAATAAAGCAATAACAAGCAATAACAATAATAAAAAAGAAGAAATATAAATACTTGCACAAACACTACATTCGTAGTTCTACGTACTTTCAGTTGAAGATTTGATTGCGAGTGCTCTTGTGCTTCTTTTAGCATGACTGTGTGTGTGTGTGTTGTCTGCTTATGTTCATAATGGTTCAGAATAAAGGCAGAATGACATAGCTGTCTTAATTGGTATGTTTGTACACACTCACACATACACACCATGTACAAAGTACCCACACAGACACACCATGCATACTCACTGGTGATGATTACAGTACCTAACGATGAGATTATTGAGATTATATCCAATTGAACCCAGTGTAAACAGATAAGGTGTGTGTGTGTGGCTCTGTGTTTAATGTACCTTATGTATCCGCATGATTGTTTTCATGCACAATCTCGATGAATATTTAATTATTATTTTCCTGATGAATTTTAGCGTGCATGCACTCGCATTTTCATGTGTTCTCTTTATAGCTGTAATGACCGAGAAATGTCTAGTAAATTATTTTCCATTAATGTCGCTATTTTAGAGCATTCCATTGAAAGAATAAATGTATGTTTGTGTTGTATATGCTTAGTTTTTCACAATGTTTTGTTCTTCATGCATGTAAACAATCATCTAAACTAATCAAGTGTAAACAGTGACGCTGTGCCTGCGTCCAGTCCGCTGTTAGCAGACTCTACTTATTAACCAACAGGACAGGAGCTATAAACAATGTCCTAATAGTATCGTTTATGAACGAAGCAGAGGGAGCAGAGCACAAAATCGACTGTGGCAGCTTAACCGTGGTTGTCTACAGGAGGGGACTATTCTATGACGGCTTAAAGGAATAGTTTGATATTTAGTGAAATTAATTATTCACTTTTTTTTGGATGAGTCAGTTGAGAACCTCAATACCACTCATGTCTGTACGGTAGATATGAAGCTACAAATTGTGGGTCGGGAAACCAAAACGATGAGCTGAAAGACGCTAAAATGCAGCCGAGAGGAAATGCAGAGTTGGATGATGACTCTCAGCGACCACTTTCACACACAAAAAGTCTGATCCATTGTCGTTATGAAATGCAAGAATATTTACTAAAGCCAGTTCAACCAAATATAGCTGCCAAAATCTACTGCTCTGCTCCCACATTAAACTATACCGTTGTCGACTTCCTTGTAACATGACTAAATCTTGTAATCCGTAGCCAGGGGTTTGAATCCGGGAAAGATTAGCACAGCTCTGCTGAAGGTTTAAACTCAAAGCTTATTTTGTTTTTTGTAACTCCTTCAGAAAGCTCAGGGTGCAGCCCTGTTACTGCTGCCACACAGATTAAAAGGAATCCAGGAATGTCCCTTTAAAAAAAATAAAAATAACTTCACCTCTTGCCGGAGATAATACAGATCCCGTGTCTCTCTGCTGTACTGGACATACTGTATTTCTAACATCTTTCTGTGTGTGCAAGTGCCTCTGTGTATCTACCGTTTGGTTGCAAGTGTCTGGTGGTGTGTGAGTGAGTCTGTGTGTTTATTTTCAGAGCATCCTCCCCAGCACCACTCCCTCTCTGCTCCTGGCTTCTCCTCTGAGGATCTCCAGGAAGCCCAGTTTAGTCAAGAACTCCAGCCTGTGACGGTCTGTCGGCTGCACCTCGCAGAACACACCCTGAGATCCTACACACACACAGGAATGAAATGGTCATGAAACATGTTCAGGTCAAATGAAGATCTTTTCCCCAGCATACAAAACAAAATGCACCGACAGATACTCTTGTACATGAGGTAAAGGCAGAGGTTCTTATATGAGGAAATGCATCGTAGAGAACCGGTTAGTCTGAGGAAGCCTGTCAAGGAAAGTTTTAAAAGCACAGAAATTCAACATTCAGGGCTAATGTCAGCAGGCAAGCCAATAAATAATCAAAACAACTGAATGTAATGGTTGAAAACATCTACAGGCAGCTTGAATTCATGTGAAGTGGTATTACGACACAGTTTCGACCCTCTATACTTTGTTTTTGCTCTTCTGTTCAGCTTTGAGCCGGTGAGCACTAACCTTAATATCGAACTCGAGTCCCCCCCCCCAGAGGAGGTTTCGCATGCTGCACAGAGGTATGTAAATATTTTCCACAACATTTCATGATGTACCATATACTGCACTTTCATTTTTTTTTCAGAAGCGATGGTCAATGGCTCCACACCCTGTCCTTACCGTTGGCCTTGAGCGCAGCGAGGAGGGCGGTGAGCAGGGTGCGGCTGACGCTGACGTCCACCAGCTCCGGCAGGGCGTCCAGTCGTAGCTGAGAGGGGAAGTGATATAGGAGAGTGTCGGGGTACTCGCCCTGGTCCTCCTCCATCAGCTTGATCAAGTCCTACACAGAGGAAAGGACATTCTCACAATGTGTTACTGATGATAAGGTAAAGTCCAGGAAGTTAACTTTGTCCTATTCAGCTTATTTGATTGGCCATTGAACTCGTTTGATGGAGGATTGTGGAGAAGCGTTTGCCATGCATATTCCTTTGTTGCTGTAGTTTTCAACAGCTGCCACTAGATGCTACTAAGGGGCCATATTTGATGGATTGCACCTTATAAGAACACAAAATAGTTTCAAGTTACCCAACAAAATGATATACAGACACTAAGACTAATAATCATTGTAAATTCAAATTTCACCCAATTTTATTTTAGCTAACTTTAAATGCCTTGTATCAACAGTCTCTGCTGTATCCGCTGCTTTTATTTTGCAGACAGACTGTGATTCGTCTAACGTACTTCCTGTCTGAGTTGTTCACAAAACATGTGTGTTATATAAAACATATAGCACACATTGAGAGTCAGTGACACGAGGAAGAAAAGTAATTACATAAAAATACTGCCGTTATGTTCCCATGGCTGATAAACAAGGAACAGATGCCATGCAAACGCTTCTACCTACATACACCTGTGGCTGCAGTGTGAATGATGTCAGTGTGCACCACGCAGTGGTCAAATGAGTCCCCCACAGATGTCAGGCACTGGCGGAGCCGGCGGTGTTGCTCACCACCTGGTCTGTTTGGCTCTTTGCTTGAGATCAGTTTGTCATGATGAGCAACACTGTGACCAAGTGTGTTGTCGCCTCCCATCTTCAACAAAGATGCTGTACT